AAGAGTCTGTGCTCCCCGCTTTATTCCTCAAGGAAGGACTATGAATACAGGTGATAGCGTCTGCTCTAAAGCCGGAATCAGACTACGCATTGAAGATTGAGATCGAAGATTGAAGATTGAAATTTGACCAATGAGGGCAAAGGAATTTTAGTTCCTATTGTTTTGATTGGTCAAATTTCAATCTTTCAATCTTCAATCTCAATCTTTAATGCCTAGTCTGATTCCGGCCTAACGTCCTTCCATACTCCATCCTTCTCATTCCTTCTTTCTCTCAAACGATCCATTCATACGTTAGGAGTTGGACGTAACAATACATATCATGCGTATCATACGTAGAATACGTATCAAACTTGTATGATACCTTTAACATGACCTTAATCTGTAATTCATTAATTTTATTGATTAAAAAACAATGTTTTTAGATTGCGTTCAGCAGACTCAACGGTTTTGCAACCGTTTTATGATTCGCTGAGATAGGACTATTCCTTTAAGTCTAATGCGGGGTCTACAATAGAAGTCGTAGCAGTCATAGGGTCTTAAGTTGTAGAAAATTGACCAATCACAGTCGAACATGAGAAGAATAATCAACTATTATTGGTCAATTTTCTACGACTTAAGATCCTACGACCGTTACGACTTCTATTGTAGACCCCGCATTAAGTCTGCTGAACGCAGCCATTATTTGCTGGAAATGGCGACTTCCGGCTAATTGGCGCCACTTTATACCCACTCTACTTCCGCAGTACCGCATCTGTCTGACTGTGACCTTCCTGGAAAGCATTTTCTATTTAAAATTTTGGTAATTACGGAGATTACGGCCGACCTCACCGATTTTAATGAAATTAGGCTCATTCGATGCGTTTTTGCATGAAACGAACGAATCTGGCAGAAATAAGCGTCGCTCTGCCCCGCGAACCGAGATATTTAGCGTTAAAGTTCACGACCGTTCAGGTTAGGAAATCTGTCATACCGACTCGATATAAGCGCTATGAGTATGCCTTTTCATGCTCTGTGACTTAATGCGCATGCGTTTAGCGATTCTTGGGTCCAATAGTGCACGAAATTTAAAATTAAATTAAAAAATGAATTAGTTACTTGTGCAATGTTTCTATTATACATAGTTCTATTCCAAATAAATCACCCATGTGGACAGTGGAGTGTGTAGACAGTAATGCTTGGGTTCAGGGCGGCAAAGCCGCCCCGAACAAAACAAAAA